AAAATAAAAAATCTGCCTTTGCATTATCAGATTTTAGCTAAAGTGTTGGAATATTTTATGTTAAATAGATATAAAAAAAATTAGAAAAATAAAATTAGGACGATTAGATCAAGTGAGAAGATAGCAATAAACTAATTGGTGAATAATTGACATTCGTGTACCAACCACGTGATATGGCATGTATAGTTACCTTACATCGAACAATTACACTAAAAAGATATTAATTTTATATGTATATAACCTATTGAATCTCCTTTAAATATGTCTAATTGAGAAGGACAAGTAAATGATTAATCATAAATGGTGAGATTAGCACATCAGTAACAGTGAATTTTGATTAATTAAATATAAAAGATTCGATGTTAGGTAGATTGAAGAACTTATGAAACCTTTATTATAAAAATAATATATTGTTGAAGTTTAGAACTTAAATAATATATATTCTGATAGGAACCAAAATTTATTTAAAAACTGCACGTCTTCGACGGAAGTCTTTTTGTACTTAGATAACAAAACAATAATCTACGTTTCTCCCTTGACTATTAAGTATCTCTTTCTGAAGGTTTATTTGTAAATATATTACTAATATAGTGTACAATTCAAAGTTCAATAAATTGACAATTAACATTGAATTCTTTACTTTTTATGCACCCAAAACACAGTTGTTTGATTGAATATAAATAAATAAAAGAGGAGAAACTATAGTCAAAAAGAATTTTAAAACGCTGGTCAACATATGTTCTAGATGAGAATGTGACAAACACTTAATTTTTTTCTTTCCTTCTTTGAAATAATAATTATTATATTGTTGATAAATAAGAAGTTAATATGCGTTGAACTTTTCTTTTGGTAACAAGCAACGCGCTCGCTATTCTTCAGATGCATTCTGAGTAATTTTTTTTTACTATGATAGCATGTAAAAATGTAATTCACAGTAGACTCACACTACATCAAAAATGATCTTTAGCGGCAATAGCTCAATTGCCGTTAAATATGTATTTTTAGCGGCAATTAGCATTCTTTGTATATGTCCCTAAAACCTTTAGCGATATTGGATCTAATGACACTTAACTAATATTGGTAAAGACTTTAGCACTTTTTATTAATGTGTACATTTATTGCCGCTAAAAGTTGTTTTTGTTGTAGTGTCAATTGAGAAACACATTGAACTTGTTACCAAGAATATTACTCCACTTTAATAATAATACGACAACAGCTAGGATGAATTATCAATTAGACGCTAGATGTAGTATGAATTAATTAGTATCTATACCACCAACATGCTTAAACTAGAAAACTCAAATCGAACATTGTATTCTTAATAGGTGAGGTTGTTTCTGTTATACAATTGATATACAAGAAATATTTTTTTTATAATAGAAATCAAGATCTTGCAAATTTTGTAGTCTCAATTAATTTTCTTTTTCTTTATGTGTTTGGAACGTAAATATATATGATTTCCGTAAAATTATATCTTCTTAATTTTGCATTTTCACACATCTTTTTTGTTTGGGAAGGGGGGAGGCCGGGAGGGTGATAGGATATATAGGCACATCACAGTATTTTGTTGTTCTTGATTCTTTCTTGTAAGATTTGCATTTCCCCTTGTTAGTTGCTGTGTTTTTTCCACTGATTTCTTCTTCCTTATATTGGATTTGCTGCACTTGAGTCGATGGTATTTTGCCAACAACTTATTTATTTCCACGAGATATAGTGATAAGGTCTGAATGTATACTCTATCCTCCTCAAATTCCACATGTGAAATTTCACAGGTACGTTATGGTGTTGTAATTTGGTGCAATAAACTAAAAGACAAAAGTGAGATAGAGTGTTGAAGAGACATGCATGTCAAACTTCAAATAATAGAGAATCAAAAGATGTTGCATTTGCCAATTTAAGTGTAATGGAGGAAGGTGTAGGACTAGGAATATTACAACCTATTTGGGCCAAACAGAAAGGTAGTACATAAAGGACCTGTTCCCTTGTTACAACATATTACTCCTAGGTTAAATCAGAACTACCCAGTAGATTGGACATGAAAGCTACAGCCTAACGTTGTAGTCGAAGATTTGTGGATGCTTATGGCCAGAAGACTAACAAATAGTCCCTAAAGTATTCACTCAACAGTTTTAGTCATGAAAATATATGTACTCTACTAGATAGTTTAAGGAAATTCTTCCTTACTCGATATTTGTGTTGGTAAGAAATAGTAGGTATCCGATGAAATAGTCAAAAGTGCACACAAATTGATCTACACACTACGTCATAAACAAAAAAAGAACAATTATCAGCTTGAAATCAGCAACTTTTCAACCCGTGCAATTAAAAAATAGTCATTGTCATGAAGTTCTAAGTCCCGCAGTTTCACCTAATTTGAAATTCATGGAAGTGACTATTTTTCAAATATATGAGCAAAAAGCGGCTCTCATCTAAATTTTCTCTCCTCATATTTAAGAAGGGAAAATTGTAAGAAATAACAAACTATTAATTCAAATTAAATGTTGTAGCCATAGTTTTTTTATTTGTAATTCGCAGCAAACATTCCATGTTTTTTTGCCATCCCATTTGTATACCAAAATATACAAATAGACCCATTCAGTATACATGTGTGTTATATATATGTAGTAATTTTGTTTATATACAATTACCGTGTTTTAGTTTGTATACCGAAATATACAAATACAGATTTTTATGTATATGTAGAACGAAATATACAGATTAATAGTCAGTAATGAAGCACAATTATACAAACTGTAGCTATAGCATACAAATATGATTTTTATGTTTGCTAAACCTAAAATTTACTCTTTAAAGAACCTGACAATGATGAGCCCAAGAATGAAATTAACAGAAGCCCAAATTGGACTTAGTAGAACATGGCCCAGACGTGAATTCAAGAGTTCAATAATAGCTTCTTTTCTCATTTTAAACTCTATTCATTATAAAAGAAGTTTGGGTATACTATTAATTACTCAAGCTTCCTTCTTACGTTTATTGTCTAAGAGTAAATTATCTATTCTAAGGTGGACGTGGAAGTGAGGATCAATATCATTTTCAAGAGAAGGAGTTTCAAGTATCTTAGGTTTGATAATTCAAGAAAATCTAATTCGACGATGATATTACACATCATATTAGATTATGGATAGGCGTGAATAAAATGAAAGCTCGTATTGGTGTCCCATGAGATAAGAATGTGCTACCTTATTTCGTATAGAGTGATTGTTAGATCTATTATAATGGTATAGGGAAAATTGCCGTTGACTAATCAAAAACTCATATGCCTAGAAAATGAAAGCAGTAAATGAAGACACTTGGATAGTATATTGAACATAATAGAGGAAACATGTTTTGAATTATTATTATTATTAATTCTGAACTAAGATTTAATAAAAATAGCCTTTCTATCCCTATAAAAATAAAAATAAGTTTTTTATACACCAACCCTCCCTAGACCACTAGTGGGATCACACTTAAAAAACTTTTAATTCCTGCAAATTCTTAGTTTTTTGTATACTTGTTAATGGAGGGGTCTGTCCCTCCCTCACTTAAAATAGTAAGGTAAAATTTGGCCCTTTTATTTTGTCATTTTCAAAAAATATTATTAATAAAATCCACAGGGTGATTTATATTTTTTTAAAATTCCATGCCATATAAAAAAGATTGTCCAATGGTCCATAAACATATCCAGCTCCCGGGAAAAGATGAAAGAGCCAACACAAAAGGACGCTAATGTCCAGATCAAATCTAACAATGACCCTTTAAAATATGTAAGGACGGGGGATCTACAAGGACATATATAACCTTTTTTTTTTTTTTGGTTACGATTAAATCTAAATTTACGTCTAAATCTCATATTGAACAAAAAACAATCCCTAACAAAAATGATATTGAACAAAAAATAGACCCTAAGAAAAATGACTATGTACTCAAAGCTCACACCAAAGAACTTTTTAGTTCAACTTTCACCTCTAAGAACCTACAACTATGCCATTATTGTTCAAAGTCTTACTAATGGGAATCAAAGAATTAGTAGATTTGTTCCACCCAAAATAAGAATAGATTAGGGTTATGAATTTATAATCTGATGATCAAGTCGATTTCATAATTATAAGTTCTTTTTGTAGACCATACCGGTCCAGGCTGAAATAGGGCTATATACATTCTCATAATTAATGAGAAGGGGTAATTCAAAACTATTCAAAATATTCCTACATTGTTATATTACATTTAGAACTAGAAATACACTTAATCGAGGCTGTTTTTTTTTTTTTACATATCTCTATTAGAACTCTATTCACCTCTTTCAGTGAACCGAAAGATATATATTAGGCATAAATTCTGTAGATAATTTAAATCGAAGTAATTGGATGTCCAACTCGGGCCTATTGATTATATATCTTTCTGTTGCACCTTTTTTATTGGTTTATATGTTTGACATGAACATAATCAACAAACAATGACACATGTTGGGTAATTATTGGCTGCTTTTAGTACCGTAACAACACCTCTTTTGGGTACTACATTGCTGAGATCAAGTGAAATACATCCAAGTACATTTCTACAAAGAGCTCCTCCCACAATCTAACTATATTCCAACACTTGCAAATAGATTTTCTTTTTCACTTTCTAGATTTTCTGATTTACTATAGTATATAACCAAAAATCTGTTAAAAATCCAATATGTGACATTCAGCTTTTTGTATAAATCAATAAGAAAGTGGAATAATATATTTATCTCTAGCCCAATAAAAAATACTAGGTCATTCTTCTAATTTGTCCGGTGTTTAATGTACAAAATTATGTGATATATAATCATATGCATGAAAGTTAGATCCGAACTCTACGTTCATAACAGAAAATATATATATTCACCTCTGGTGCTTGATGACACATCTACACATATCTGCAAAGTGCAAAGATGTCCACTTTTTTTCTGCAATCAGTGGCACTATAAATAAAATTTAATGAAAAATAAATCGATAAAACCCATCTTTACATAAATTATAGTAAATAAACTCATCGATTCAATGTAGTGAAAAAATTTAAAATTGGAGCTTTACAAATTACAATAGCAGAATTGGATAATCTAGAAAAATAAAATAAAAATAAAAATTGGTACTGCCTAACCAATTCCACAGATACAGAAATTAAATTTGCCGTGTAAAAAAGGGTGAAATAATAGCAGCAGAAAAAATTTAAATAAATTATAATTTCAGAACTAATTAATGGCTAGTAGGTAGAAGAACCCTATGCACCATAAAAAGATTCCTTTTTTTCTGTTCGCCGCCGATGATACTTCTTTCCCTAAAATCGGCGGCGATGATAAGTGGCTTGGTGGGCTGAATATTTCCGGCGAATTTACCGGCGATAGAGATATCTCCGGCGGTGAAGCTACCACAGATTCTCCACCACCACTACCACTACCAATTGGGTTCTTCCCAAAGAACTCTTGAGGCAACAATACTTTCGATACCCCAAATATCGCTACCGGATTCTGATCAAACACCGTTTGAGTTACCGACGCTTGAACAATTCCGGTGTTAATTCCGACAGACCCATTAACTCTAGAAATGTTCAGTGTAAAACTCCCTGCACCATTTTGCTCTGTAGCTAATGTTGGTTGAACTGGATTAACAATAGATTCTAATGAACCTAAAGGGTAATACGAATGCAAAACATGGAACCTTAATACAACAGCTTTCTTCTCCGCCGGCAACGATTGAAATTTCATCGACGATGACATATCGGAAAATGCTTCATCTGTTGGCACAAAAAGCGTTAATCCAGCACCCCCTTCATCTCTCTCGAATTCCTCTTCTACCCCAGAAGCAGTAAGCATTGAAGCTGCAACATTGAAATTGTGAGCATCAATAAGCGTCTTCGTAATATTGAGACCCAAAGGGGGTCGAGTTTCAGAAGCCATAAGATCAAACCCATTTGGAACCAAAAGAGAATCGACCTTAAAAACAGAGATATTATAAGGAAGGGTTTTCAAAAGCCCCAAAATTGTAGCGTTCGTTGTAGGTGAATGAATTGTGACGGAATTCGAATTAACATTACGGGTAATGTTAACAGACCCAAAATTATTAGGGGCACGGCCGGTAGTTTGAAACAGAGTGGTAACGAGTTTTCCGGTGGGTGGTATAAGTCGAAGGTCCGACCACGAAAAGTACTCAAGAAGAACATGGTAACGGAGGACATCACCGAGATTAGAGGAGGAGGAGGAGGAGGAGGGCGGAGAGCGGTTATTCAAGAGATCGGATGACCGGAGGAAGGTGTTGGGGACGACAAGGAGAGTAAGATAAGAGCGTTGGGTTAGATCGGCGGCGACAGAAGTAGTGGCGAGAAGATTAGCGAAGTCGGAGATTTCAGGATAAGAAGATAATAGATTGGTGATGTTAATGGCGAAAATGGGTAAGTGGGAAGTGGATAAAAGAAGAAAATAGAGGAATGTAGGAAGGGTAAAATGGGATAATGAAATTGTGACAGCCATTTTTGTGAAGTTTGAAGCAGAGAGAGGTGTTTCTATGTCTCTCTCTCAAAGTGGTAACAGAGAGAGTGATGCTCCTTTGGTGGCTTCCACACACATTTTCCTCTTGCCCACTGTGGCCCCATCTTGGGTTTGATGTGATGATTATGGTCCATCATAAGTGATATAAATAATAATTACATTCATATTCTTTCATACTATATACTACACTATCAATTGATGTGAGGAATAAAAATATATAGTTCTAAAATAAAAAAATAGTTCTAGGATAAAAGTTTGGTGTCTTGATTGATTGACATATTTAGGATAACTTATCCCATCATTTATATCATAGTGATGGAATAAATTATTTCATATACAGGGTGAGATAAGTTATTCCACGATAACTAATCCCGAGATAATTAATCTTGGATAACTAGTTTCCAACCAAACGACTTAATAATTCTATAAACAGACTATGGGCCTGTTTGGATTGACTTTTGGCTTATTTTTGTTATTTTGACTTTAAAATAAGTGTTTATAAGCACTTCTTAACTTTACTCAAATACTTCAAAACTGCTTAAAAACTATTTTAGCTTAAAAACACCTAAAATAAGTCAATCCAAACGGGCACGTTGATAGGTGTCAATTCTTGTCAAAAAGAAATTCTTTAGCTAGTTCTTGTTGATTAGTGCCATTAGTCAAGGTGATTATATGAGATAATGAGATATTCGGTGATTAGATAAGATAATGAGATATTTTGTTTATTAGAGATATGTAGTTTCCTTCTTATTTTTTTATTTAGTTTTGCTGGTATTTGTTGTTTTTATGTGTTAGTTATCACATTACTTTTATGTTATTATTATGTCTTTTTCTAATGTTGTGTAATAATTTTATTATTATATGTTGGGTCTGCTTTGTGTCGATGTGTTTGTTTTTTAATTAAGTTACTTAAGCTGATGATATATCAGAACATTAGAACCAATTTATCTATTTTTACAAAATAAAAGTAAAAAATATGTATATCTTATCATTTCTAAATTCCATTTTATGAAATTAAACAATATATATTATTATATAATAATTAATATATAGGTTATGAAATGAAAGCAACAAATTCATCAAAGGTCCATTGAAAAGTTCTAATTTTATCACTATCTAATATTTCGAGTTTGAATCACGAAAACTTAAAACTTGAATTATCCCAACTCAAAAGTGTATTTATTACCTGCGTTTCGAGAAGGTTGAAGAAATAATAGGACTCCTCCGAAATATGAGTATGTAACAACAAATGTAAGACAAATTCAATCCCTTTTTTCCTAAATTTTATCTTCATTACTGAATTCTTATATTTTAGGACTTTATGTCCCATTAATGAACCATCCAACGAGAACCAAATTAGTTCAGCGGCCAACTGAAGTTTTAAATAAATTGAGTATTGCAAGAGCACGTAACTATTTGTCCACTAGTTTCCTGTTAACAGAATGTTGTCAAATATAATAACCTTTTGAAACAATCTTTTAAATTTGATTTTTTACTGTAATCCTGTCTTTTCAACAGTAATTTTCCTGGTTAAACTACATAATTTGACGTTAACGTTACACATTAGTTTTTATATTTTTGTTCTATAGATTTTGCAAGAATATAAAAAGCTGCTAATCTCATTAAATAATCTTTAGCCCTCAGTTTGTGATAAGATGAGTGGCACATGACTCATCCATGGGTTAGCTAAGTTGACCGAGGTTTTTTTATCCTTGCGTTTCTATAATCTGCGTTGAAGTTCCGATTAAATCCAGATCACACACTAAAGGGCTTATTCAAGGGTGGTACTTCCAACAATTTCTTCATACGCAAGACTCAAATTTAAGATCTCTAATTAAGAGTGGATCAATTTCACTACTGCACCACAACCCATTTTAATATGTTTCAATTGATTCCTTTGCCTAAAAATTATATTATATAAATAAATAAATAAAATGGTTCTATATATAATTTTTCTTGAAATAATAATAAATAACATAATTGTAAAGAACATTCAAAAATTACTTTAAATCATAAATTCCATATTAGATATGGCGTTTTATTTATTATTATTATTAGTAGTATTATTTCGAATTTCATTATATATGATTTTGACTCCGTCACTAAACTCAGCAATCATCTAGAAGAAAAATTATTGATACAAATAAATAATGAGGATTGAAGAGGAAAAAACTCACTGGAAATTAAAGGGCGGGCAGAGACAGCATATGAATAACTACCAAACAAAGAAGTGATAAGACATAAAAGATGTAAAAGTGGCTAACTTTTATGTGCTTGTTTCTTAAAGAAGGTACATACAATAGTTAAAAAATCAATTATTGTTTAGAAAAAGAGCCTCTTTCTTATCTATATTTTGATTAAATTGGACATTTCTGAAGTCTTATACGATAAAAAAGAAATGGATGCAATACAGATTTTTTATTTTAATTTATTTTGGTTGTTTTGCAAAGCTGTCTTGAAAGGGTGCATTTATAAGTTTAGACGGTAGGGGTTGGGTGGCTACGACAAATAACACCTATGCAAGGACCCCATTACACATGTTGGGTTTTACTTGTTTTTAATAAACCTGTCATCGTTTGATTTGACATAATAAAAAAAATAATATATATAATTATTAGATATTTATGTGGTTATAAGAGTTAAGTATTTTATTAAGAATAAAATAAATTTTTTAAATCAAATTACTTTTAATTATAGAAATGTATTTTCTTCTTCTGATGAACTAAAAATGAAAGTTATCATATAAATGATGACAAAGAAAATAGAGAAGTATTGAAAATATTTTTGAACTTGACGCAACTAATAGTTTCATTCCCGAACTATTGATAGTCTTAAAAAAATCCTTTATTTGACTAACTAAACTTTAGATACATCTCCGATCTACCACATGACATAACAAGTAATCTCAAACTCTTGTAGGAGTTCATTCTAGAATTATTTTCATTACCTCTAATGAGAACAAGATCCCTGTACACTTGGTAAATTTTGTGGTATTTCATTTATGTTGCAAGATCATGGTGTATTTAAGTATAATTAATCAAGTAAATGCATACTTTTAAGGTTGTTAATAATTCGAAATGAAAGTAATAATTCACTCACAAATTTAAGGTATTTCAGTACTTCTCTCCAGAAAATAGTTATTCTTTTTGTTGTACTTTCTGAAAATAAAAGGAGCTTTTATGATGCACATGGAATAAACGTTGCAATACATGAGTAATGGTATTCACACAGTATTATATATGCCATGAGTATAATTTGGAAACGGTTAAAGGTATTATGAAGAAGAAAATTGGTGTTGTCAACTCACGAAATTAAGTAAATCATGAATAGAATCATTATTGTTACTATTCTTTTACCATCGGTTTGTACTACGTACCTTATGAGAGAATAATAGCTACGTTGAATAAACCAAATTTATTTCATGCAATATTCTACTAATGAGTGTGTTTCACAATATCTCTCTAGGTTATCAACCAACTATGATTAGGGGCGGAAAGATTTCGTCGAAAAATTGCATTCTACTTGCCTAATACACAAATTTTCAGGATTAAAAGTCAAAACTTGTTAAACTTGAAGTTTTATTCATAAAACAAACAGACTCAAAAGTTCAAGATCACTCATATCAAGGATCATTCTAGTAAATCTTTAATTTGGGCTCTAGAGGCCTAACAGTACGTAAGATTGTGGATAGTACTAAAGCCCAATATGATATTCTTGGGCTATCAATCTTCTTATCACGTTTAGCCAGCAACTTTTTTGGTGCAATTACACATCAAGCTGATCGATTAAAAATAATTACATTTATTAGTGAAATATATAAAAAAAAATATACACCGTCATATACTCATTAGTCATTTCACCCATGTCATAAACGTAAGTGCATTTCCATTTCTTTATCTTTTTTATTTATGTATCTATAATCCATCCATTACTAGTGGTAGTTGTTAATCCATGTTATGGTGAACCATGTTTTTTAATTCGTTTAAAAATGTCAATGTTTGGTAGTCATAACATCAAGCTAAATACTAAAATTCCATGGGAAAGCTATGAGAGCTAGATAAACATTTTTTTAAATAATATGGATTGGTAATAACAATTAACAACGGGGTAGAGAGAAATGATGGACCCTGCAATGTGCAATTCAGATTTGTTGGGATTTCAATATGGACTCTGAAAATCGAGTGAGAAACCAAACAAACAATTAACAACAATAACCCCGGGAACATTTAACAATTCTATATTTCATAGAGAGACAACAACCATATATATTAAAAATTGGTACATATATAATACGATAAGGTTATGATAGAACTGATCAACACCAGGACCACTCTATGAATCTTTCTTTCATTTTCTTCCTTACGTAGATATAATAATTAAAGATGGAATATTAATTACTCCGTATAGTCAAACTACATAAAAAAAGTTAACATAATCAATATAGTTTTACCTGCTGTGACATGTCACTTGTTTTCTGTTTCTTGCAAGTAATTACCATTTCATGGTAAAAGGGGATGATTGGTCTATTTATGTGGCTTGGGTAGGGGCGGACTGATTGTGTAAATTATGAGTATGATTTTTTTTGCAAAATTAAATATGTTATGCAAATATTTTTTAGAATTAATATAATATTATATGTTTATGGCAATCATGTTCCAAAATGTTTGAATGGTGCACTTGATTGAATATTGAGCTATTTATCTAGATAGAATCGTGAATCAATTTTCATTTCAATTTTTTGTTGGGCACCATGTTCTACAAATCGTAATTCCGTCTTCACTTCGCTAATCCTTACTGAGCTAACTTTTGAGTTGAGTTAGATCTAAGATCCTTTGTTTAACATGGTATAATAAAAACTTTGATTAATTAAATACGAAAAAAGTCCGGAAAATATGTTCTCCCATGCCAATGATCATACCCTATATGTAATTAAATTTTAATTTTTTTTATATATATTAGTAGAATTCTATAATAAAAAAAATATGTCAAATTATTCTTTTGTGGCGTCTTAGATTTTTTCCCCCCTACCTTCTCCTTTTCTTCATTGTGTGTGTGTTTTCTAGAAATACCCAAAGTTTGACTTCAACGCGGCATCTTATAGACTAAAAAGTTGGACCAGTTTTAGGTTTCATT